CTGCGATATACATTTATTGTCTTAGAAATATTGCTATGCGGGGGCGTGGCCGACGCTCGAGCAGGATGGACGCGCACTGAGAGAGCTCCGTCCGGGCGGCTGTTTAAATAAGCATTTACCAGCGACTAAAAGCACACAAGCGACCCTCACCTACCCCCAAGATGTCACAGAACAGATCTAAAAAGGTGGCGGAGACAAAAGACAAGGCGGCCTTCTTCACTGCTCGCACACCGTCTCACAAACCGCCGGACCCGCTGGCCCAAGATGGCGCCGACTCCGACAGCGATCACATGGACGGCGCAACGGTGACTGCGGCGGTCTTACAGCGAATGCTAGACGAGGTAGCCGGCAAAATGCAGGCTACAGTGAAAGAGGCAATCGAAGACCTAAAAAAAGATATGATGGACCTGGGGAACCGGACCTCGCACCTAGAGAGCAAAATGGAGGAGGTATCCGCGGCCCACAACACTATGGCGGACAAAATGGAGGATCTGGAAGGCAGACTGGAGCGGTATGAACACAAACTAATGGACCTCGAAGACCGTTCCCGCCGAAACAACCTCCGACTAAGAGGGGTCCCAGAAGAGGTCCCGCAAACTGAACTCACCGCCTTCGCAACGGAGTTCTTCCACTCCATAATACCGGACATACCAGGGGACATGTTAGTCCTAGACAGGATCCACAGAGTGGCCAGACCGAGCCATCTCCCACCAACCACCCCCAGGGATGTGCTCATGCGAGTACACTTCTTTCATATAAAAGAACTGATAATGAAAACGCACCGCACTAAAAGAGATTTACCGCCCAAGTTCAAAGATATACTAATTTTCGCAGACCTCTCCGCGGAAACCCTGAGGCGAAGAAGAGCATACCGGAATGTCACGGAGGCGCTCAGGCAACACTCCATCCCCTACAGATGGGGATACCCAGTTAAGCTAACGATCGCCAAAGGCGGCACACTCCACACAGTCACCTCCATCAAGGATGGCATGGAACTTCTCCATTCGTGGGGCATAGCGGAGGCCCCTGCCCCGCCAGGACAAGACCAAGGGATCAAGCTGCAGAAGGAATGGAGACCTGCCAAGCAAAGAAGGCACACCTCGCGCCCCAACCTATAGGCAACCAGGTGTCCCCCCAACACACAGGTGTGACTGCAGCTACTATCCTCGGGACAGTGAGTAAAATAACGACAAAAAAGACCGAACAGACATTACTGTGTACACACAGATGCGTAACAATGAACAATGGCTCTGGTCGAGCCGGCTAATGTGTACAGAGCATCACTTATTCAAATTGTACCCGTATAGGAGACTGTAGGCGCTGTTTAGGTGACGGGGTGGGGAACAAGGGGGAATATAATGTCAACTCAGCTGTGCCCTGGAGCCTGTAGTCCCGGCTCTAGCCATTTATCGCATCAACCCAGGGGCGTCCACTAAACAGTCCCCAGACTTAGAGCAGGACTCCACGACAGAGCACCCCACCTCAGAAGACCAACCCATCTATAACCTCTTTTAAAAAAAAAAAAAATCGACCACTAATAACGACAGTTGCATGAGAGTGCACGGCCGGGTGTGTGCTAGCGGGCTTTAAGGCATGCGTATGAGGGCACGGTTACGTGTGAACACACCAATGCATACAACTGCTGACGAACCCCTACACCATACTCGACCCACGCCAAGTTGCACTGGTCTCAGAGGCTATAACGGTGCCAGGGCAGGGGCTGACAACAGAGTGAACGGTTCACCCACCCCCAGAAATCTAGAGCTCCTTGTGCTATTCGAGAGACTTAGCGCTCTTGCAGCCGCCCACTCCTGGGCCCACCCTAGCCCGACACGTTCACCTACCCCCACCTAAGAAGGTTCATTTTCACCTTCGATTCGTTTTTTTTTACATAGGTACCTCAATAGTGGTACCCGTTTACAGTTCTAAGTTAATGTTTTTTAAGTTATGTTGTACATTGGTATGTCACTTGAAACAAAATGTCTGGAATATATTATGTAACAACAAGACCCCGCCTCTAGGTCAGGTCCAACACACCTGCACAATGGTTTACGGAGATCAAGGCCCAGGGCCAAGCGGACCTCCCCCCACACAAACCAAGTATAGAACTCAACACCAGAATAGCACAAACCACACAATGCTCACAACATGAAACTATACACCCACAATGTTAGAGGACTAAATATCCCGCACAAAAGACACACTCTACTCAGAGAACTGAAGGCCTCACAAGCCGACATAATCTGCCTTCAGGAAACGCACTTCCAGGGGAATTCCAATCCAGTGCTAGGGAAAACGCTCTACCCCCACCAATACCATGCAACAGCAACCACAAAAAGTAAAAGGGTCTCAATTCTCCTCAGCCGCCACTTGGCGTTTGAGGAAATAACGGTGAGACAAGACCCACAGGGAAGGTACCTCATCTTAGTATGCACCATCAACAATTCCACTTACACTATTATTAATGCATACCTCCCAAACGTAAACCAGGGTAACTTCCTCAGCACACTACTGACCCTACTAGCTCAATTGCAGACAGGCACGACTATCCTTTGTGGGGACTTCAACCAGTTCCAGGACCCCCTAATGGATTCAACAGCAAAGCACTCCTCACACAGGGCTAAAACACTCCATAAACGCTGTAGATCTTTGACCACACTTTTACACACATTCGGCCTCTACGACGTTTGGCGAACGCTGCACCCACAGGACAGGGAATATACCCATTTTTCACAAGTACACAACACCTACTCGAGAATAGACGGCTTCCTACTGCACGGTGCACACCTCAACAGGGTGAAAACGTGTGAGATAGGGTCCTCCACCTGGTTAGACCACAACCCAGTGATACTCACTATTGAGGACCAATACAACTACAAAAACCGCAGCCCCTGGAGATTGAATGAACAACTCCTAAACGATCCCGAGTTCGCCCTGTCACTACAACAAGACATGCAAACATACTTCAATAACAACAACAACCCAGACATATCCCCCATGACCCTGTGGCTGGCCCACAAACCGGTGATCAGAGGACTGCTGATCCGCAGAGCCTCCTACCTCAAGAAAACACACCACACAACACATATCCAAAACCTGAAAAAATTACATGACCTCCACAAAAGCAACCAGCTCTCCCCCTCCAAAGGCGCACAAGAGGAAATAACCAAACTCCAACGCTACATTAACACAGCAAACTTCCAAAAAGCGAGTTACGCAATTAAAAAACTAAAAGCCACAACTTTTGTATTGGGGAACAGAGCCAGTAAAGCACTGGCCCAGAGACTCAGAGACAGGCAAGCCCAAACCAAAATCCCCTACCTACTGACCCCCACAGGCCAGAAGCTGATACAGCCCACGGAAATATGTAACGCGTTTGCGAACTATTACAGCTCCCTCTACAACTTAAAAGACAACACGTCTGTCACACAGCCAACAAACACCTCAATACAAAACTACCTAGACGGGATTGACCTACCCAAACTCACAGCCCACCAAGTAGCACATCTCACAGAACCGATCTCTACTCACGAGGTAACACAACTAATAGAATCCATGCCAAAATCAAAAGCCCCAGGCCCTGATGGCCTCACTAATCTCTACTATAATACATTCAAACTCACCTTAAGCCCCTATATCGCACGAGCCCTCAACTTCGCTACGACACAGGGCTTCGCGCCACCCGAATTCTTAGCGGCCCACATTATCACTCTCCCGAAGCCCGGTAAAGCACCGACACATTGCCCAAACTTTAGACCCATCTCACTTCTCAACGCAGACGCTAAATTATATGCAAAAATATATGCGGAGCGCTTAAAACACCTACTACCAAACTTGATCGCGACGGACCAAGTGGGGTTCGTGTCAGGCAGACAGGGTCCAGATAACTCCCGCAAAGTACTAGATATCCTCCACTATCTCAACCGGGCCAAACAGCAGTGCACGATACTATCACTAGACGCGGAAAAAGCGTTTGACCGGCTCAATTGGAAATTCTTACAAGTAACGCTACATAGATACGGATTCCCACCATCATTCCTGAATATGGTCCAAGCCCTCTATAGCTCGCCGTCGGCCACTGTCCTGAACTCGGGCTTTGGCTCCAAGGCATTTAACATAACGAACGGCACACGTCAGGGATGTCCACTTTCCCCATTACTTTATGTTCTAGCCCTTGAACCGCTCGCCATAGCTATCCGCAACAATCAGGACATACAGGGGGTAACCATAGGTGGCAAGGAATACAAACTGAACCTCTTCGCGGACGACATCCTCCTCACACTTTCCAACCCGACGGTATCCCTACCAAATCTACAGAAAGAAATCCAAAAATATAGCGACAACTCATACTACCAACTAAACCTGTCCAAAACCCAGGCCAGGTGCCTTAACACGGCTAAACCAGACGAAGAACGCTATAGACGCAACTTTAATTACGACTGGAGAGACGATCACCTCACATTTCTAGGCATTAAAATAACTAAGAGACTCACAGACCTCTTCGACGTCAACTACGCTAAACTCCTCAAAGAAGTGGAACACATTCTGAAGTCGTGGCAGAATAAATATCTCTCATGGCTAGGTCGTATAGCGGCCGTCAAAATGACTATACTACCAAAAATCCTGTACTTGTTCCGCTCCCTGCAAATATCCCTTCCCCAGACGTATCTACAAAGACTGCAGACCTCCCTAATTAGATTTAGCTGGGGCGGAAAACACCCTAGGGTCCCTAGAACGCTCCTGATGAAACCGACAGATAAAGGGGGTTTGGGATTCCCCAATATTAAAGCCTATTACCAAGCAACCCAGATAACTAACATCCTCACCATGCACTCCCCCACATACACTCCCCAATGGATAGACATCGAAGCCAGCTGCTGCGAGGTCCTAAATCTCCCTGCATCGGTCTGGGCGCCTAAAAAACTGAGGCGTACAGCGCAAAGCATACTCCCCACGACCAAACTAATGTACACCTGTTGGGACACACATAGAACTGCCCTATGCTCGGCCAAGCCCTGGTCCATGGCAACTCCGCTACGCACCATCGGGCTGTGTATCGACACGTTTCCTTACAGAGCCTGGCAAAGATGCAATATCACACACCTACATCAGGTATGCACCCCCCAAGGGCCACAAACAATGTCAACCTTACAGGCAACATACAACATCCCACCACATCTCACATTCTCGTATGGGCAGCTAATATCAACAATCAGCAACAAGGGGATAAAAAGCCCTACACAGTCGTTCGACACCAACCACACACACTTCGAAAAGATGTGTCTCCACCTAACACCAATCCGCCGCACTCTATCACTCACTTATAAACTCCTTAACTCCCCAACAAAAGAGCCGGTCTGGCGCTTTATAGCAGACTGGAACAAGGATATAGGCAGAACACTCTCACAGGAAGAGTGGGATAGCATTTATAGCAACCATAAAGGACTAACCGCTTGCGCGTCTCATCAGGAGGCCGCGAGAAAACTACTTTACAGGTGGTATATGGTACCCACTCGCCTAAAAGCAATATACCCGAACACAAGCGACAGGTGTTGGCGTTGCCAGACACAGGAGGGCACACAAATACACATATGGTGGACGTGCGATCTGGTGCGGCCCTACTGGGAACAAATAGCGAACCTTATACAGGGGGCCACAGGGTGCATACTGGAACGCAATATTGAAACCATGCTACTCAAACTCATGCCAAAAGGGGTGCCTCACTGCATAGCCAAACTCATCTTCATCACACTCTCCTCAGCCACCACAATGCTAGCCAAACAATGGAAAACACAGAATATTCCTACGGTGCCAGAAGTTGCCGCAATGGTAACTACCACGCTGGAATATGAATTGGCCATGTGGAAACAATCAAAAATAGGAAAAGGCTGCACCACAGCCCATGCAATGTGGATGACATATATAGAACCAAAAGGGAACCAACGACTATGAGGGACAGGTTGAGGCTCAAAACAACATAATTAGATATAACCAGACACTCGCGGAATCGCAAGAACATACCGACTTCCTAGTTTATTTTTTTTTTACCCTCCACCCTCTCTCTCCCCCCCCCCCATGGGCAGCCGCTCAGGGATGAGGCAGCCCATTACGCAGTCAACGGCTCCTCTAAACATCACCTACACGGCACAGGAGACCCCACGCAAGGTTTTCTTTGTACTCCCCCTCCTACTGAGACACCGCAAGTAGTACAAGCAGTTATAGCAGGACGACACGAAAGTCTAGAGTAGATATGGTGTCACCAGCATGGTATACTGATATATACACACAACCCCATCATCCTTAGTCTCTCCCTGGAACCACGTGTCCCTACCGAAAATTGCCAAACTGCAAAAAAAAAAAAAAAATAAAAAAAAGGGGAAAACCACTGATTGGCTCCGGCCTGTGCAATATGATGATTCGCTTGATTTATATGTGTATGAGAACAATGCACTATACCTGCGTACCCTCCCCCTTTTTCCTTTCTGTACCCCTCAATTGTGTTCTTTGATAAAATAAAAATTGTCAAATTGGAGAAATATTGCTATGCAATGCAAAAGTGTGATAGATTTTGAAAAAAATATAAAATCAATTTTACTGGTCAGAGTGGTTTACTTAGTAAACCATTGATTGATAAGACATGACAAGGAAAACTCCTAATTTTATGCAAAAATAATTGAGCTGGAAAATTCTTCAAGCTGTCTATTTTTCTATTTCACCTTTTTGTGACCTTAACATGTTATTTCAATGTAATTTCTCCATAACTGCAGTTTTAGCGAATACGCACCAGTTTATTCTTTCTTTCTTTCTTTATTTTTTTATTTTAAAGTATTGAATATAAACATGCAAAGATTCAGTTTGTTGTTAATACTGGATTTTTACAAATTCACCTCTATATGTATAACGGAATAATAGGAGATGCATGGAATTGGCTGAAAAAAAGGATGGGCTAGATATAAAAATACTTTGAAAATAAATAAAGTTTCCTTTTTAATTTTAATTGAAGTTTTTATATTTGTTCACAACAAAAATATTGCATAAACAAACCTACAAAATTGCAATGTGTGATGGATAACTCTACTCAGTTCTATAATTGTATAAATGTAATTGAACTTTAAATGAACAGCAAACAGTGCAGAAAACTAACCACTAAGCATTTAAGCGTATTAAAGATCTGGCGTGCTTTTAAAAAATATATTTAACCCCCACTGTTTGTTATTTTATTATATGAATGTTTCCTTTGCAAACAGCATGAGATATACAGCAAATATATTTTTTAACGTGTGCTCAAGGGTGGCAGCATCAACAAAAAAAATGTTTGTTACATCCTGAAAAGTTGGTTTAAATGGATTGGTATATTGAAGGGGCACTTTAAACACCGTAGTAATCTATACTCTTTGAACAGGTAAAATAATGACACTTTTTCCCTGTTCATAAGTGTTTTTTAATTGTAATTATTTGGTACAATTGCTGCAGCAATAAGCCCACCCCTCCTTGAAGAGATGTCAGAGTAGAAAGTGTATAATTTCTGCTGCCTTTCCAAGTCTTTGCTGAGCATGTACATGCTGTCCCCACCTATACTAGCAGGCTACTTACTGTGAAGAAGTATACAAGGTTGTGAAATTGCTAATGTTAACTGCAATGATGACATTGTGAATGGAGCTGTGCATAAGCTGACAGCACTGGGAGTAACTAGGGCAGCTATTACATAACAATGGCATGGCAGATAATACACCCCCACACCAATAAGTTACACAGACACAGGAGTGGCGAGAAAGTTTGCAGTACTTATGTATTTAATAAATGCTGCAACATAAAACTAACACGTTAGGTGTATAGCTGTAAACATAAACAGTAAATAATATACCAACCAAATGTTTATGTACCAACCGGTTATCAATAACATATAACGAGATATATATTTATATATATATATATATATATATATATATATATATATATATATATATATATATATATATATATATATATATATATATATATAAAAAAGTAATATAAATAATACTTATCGTCGAAGATCTATAGCGGAAGTGTGTCACTTACCCTATCCCACCTAGGGCTAGCCCCAAGGGTCTGATGTAGGCGTAATCCATGTCCTTGCATCTACTGGCATCGATATTCATGCTCAGTAGCTGTACTTCAATCTCCCACTGAAGAGCCCATGGGAAGCCCATGCAGATAGCTCCCACAGCTACTGCCACACGTGTTGGTCATAGCCCATGACAGCCAACCATTGCACTGGTGCCAAACCTTGGGGACCCCTGCACACAAGACAGAAAACACAAAAAGGGGGAGGGAACTTTCCATAATTTTTCAAAGAGTAAGTGCGTGGTTTATGCATAACAATATATAGCCCAATTCAAGATTCAAGGCAATACTGTAATGTTTGACAAAGTTCGTATATTTCTTTTATTAACAAAAAAATGTCTGTTCCTGACAGGATTTCTTTGCTAGTAAAACTCACTTCAATCAGGGCAGTTGTTGCAGAATATTAATATTTAGTGTAACAGAAAAAATGATGTTGTGTAATCGAGTCTTCACAACTGGAAGACTTGTGTGACGGATCACCTGGCAGCCCGACTGGGTACCTCCGCCAACAGATGCTTCCTAGCTGACGCTGAGGACCGTAAGCACCGCAGCGGACACCACAAGCACCGCAGACTTCACAACCGCCGTAGCTTAGCTGGGATCTCACCGTCTTCCTCCCACCCTGGACCAACCTCTGATATCCAGGACCATGTGGGAAAGACCTCTCCTACTCCAGATAGGAGTTCCAGCAGGAACAGCTCTTACAAGAGCTAGTGATTAGAACCCAGGGGAGTAAAAGGAGTATAGCAATCCCCAATGTGAATATAGCAGTTCCCCTCCAATCACGAGACCAAGCTACGTGTTGAGGGTTAAGCAGGAACTTAATTTTAATGGAGGTACACTGGCCTTTTATGCAAGTTTCCCAACAAGGGTGACACCCACGTGCACCTTGTTGGGCACAGGGACACAAAGTTGACAACCCAATAAAAACAGAGTTATACAGTGAGACGCTCCCATACAGTATACACAATCCCTCCCCTCTGCCTGGGAGATAATTAAGGCAGATAATGCACTAACTTAATTATCTCCAGGCAGAAAAAACACAATTTTCTATAAAGTCCCATAAGTACTCCAAAACACAACATATCTCCATAAATGTTACATTATAGCCCTGATCTGGGTGAACAACATATCCAAAAATCACCCAGAACAGATAAGGGGTTCAGACATTTTATGGAAGTCATATTTTTGCCCAAGCGCACGCATGGTCCCATGCCCAAAACAGTTCCATAGAATTGCGGCTAAGTGCCGCTGGGGAACTGACCGGGAACCACAAGGTTTTCATGCTGAAAATAGTTCCAGGGCATTCGCGGCTAAGTCCTCCTGAAGTCTATTCACGGTTTTGGTCCATGCGAACAAGATAGCCGCCACCACGTGGTCGAATGGCACTTCAAATGGCTTCGGGAGTTCGAAGTACAGCTTCGAAAGGTCAAATAAGTATAGTCCAAAGTCATAATAAGTACAAATATGTTTTTTTAAACCATAATAAATTAAAGGGGCCATAGTCATAGGGTAAACGGCTGGCAAGTAGTCCCCTCCAAACTCCAGTGGGGAAGTGGCTTTTGCCACAACTCGATTACACAACATCTTGTCATTGATTTAAATGGGAAGATTTATTTATCATGTACACTTTTTGCGTTTATGACAGTTTCAAGCCTCTTTTTGTGACCTCAAGCTTACTCACACACCCACACACCCACTGGTAGGGCTAGGTTTCCACAACCGACAGCATCATGTGAGTTAGAACCAGAAAAGTGGTGAGTTCTATCACAGGCTTCCAGTGTGCAGCTTGTTTTTGAAATCTATGAGTGACAGTATCCTGCTGACACACCAATACCTAATATGGGTCATTCATTTAACATTACTACAGAAAATAATCAAAAATCCAGAAAGGAGTAAGCCACTATTTGACAATACTACAATTATTATATACATATATTTAAATAACTAAAACTGGAAGAAACAGAGCATATACAAGGGATGTGTGATGGGCCTGCATAGGCTGAAAAATATAAGTATTGTTATTTTGGTGCTTCAAAGATTTTGTCCTTTCATAGAGGTAGATCTATGCATATATAGTTTATTACAGTTAAAAAAAAATGCTTAGCATTGAACCAACAGGGTTGGTAACAAGGGTTACTTCACTAAATACTGAATATTGTTGGATAGAAAATTGAATTGCAAAATTAAACAATTGTGTTATGGATTTTTTTTTTCAAATTAGGAATCTTTTTCTTTATGTAAAATATAGTTACTAGGAACTATTTTACTCCTTTACCTTTATCAAGATTTTGATGTATATATTTAAAGAATACTCCATTAAGAAAATAGTAGATACTTCCCCAAAGAAAGCAGTAATCTATAAAAGTATTTATAGATTTTAAAAATATACAATTTATAAATACAGACTTTTTTTTACTACTCCTCCTCTTTTTCCAAATGGCTTAAAGATGCATGCACCTATTAGTGTACTGCAAACTACACTGCTCAAAAAAATAAAGGGAACACTTAAACAACACAATGTAACTCCAAGTCAATCACACTTCTGTGAAATCAAACTGTCCACTTAGGAAGCAACACTGAGTGACAATCAATTTCACATGCTGTTGTGCAAATGGATAGACAACAGGTGGAAATTATAGGCAATTAGCAAGACACCCCCAATAAAGGAGTGGTTCTGCAGGTGGTGACCACAGACCACTTCTCAGTTCCTATGCTTCCTGTCTGATGTTTTGGTCACTTTTGAATGCTGGCGGTGATTTCACTCTAGTGGTAGCATGAGACGGAGTCTACAACCCACACAAGTGGCTCAGGTGGTACAGCTCATCCAGGATGGCACATCAATGCGAGCTGTGCAAGAAGGTTTGCTGTGTCTGTCAGCGTAGTGTCCAGAACATGGAGGCGCTACCAGGAGACGGGCCAGTACATCAGGAGACGTGGAGGAGGCCATAGGAGGGCAACAACCCAGCAGCAGGACCGCCACCTCCGCCTTTGTGCAAGGAGGAACAGGAGGAGCACTGCCAGCGCCCTGCAAAATGACCTCCAGCAGGCCACAAATGTGCATGTGTCTGCTCAAATGGTCAGAAACAGACTCCATGAGGGTGGTATGAGGGCCCGACATCCACAGGTGGGGGTTGTGCTT